ACTCGTGCTTTAGAGGATAAAACGAAGAATAAAAAACAAAGAGGGAATGATGTAACAAGTTGGCTTTAGTGAGAAATAGTCGTGTTTTTGTTGTTGTACAGGACTAGAAGAGTGAAGCGTGCAGTGGAGCTGCTGTCCTGGGGGTTTAACGTGAAGACCTGTTTGATGGCATCTGTGCTTTCATCCTCGGTCTGGATGAGTCAATATTCATTTAAAGCCCTTTCATTCTTCCTTTCCCCACCTGTGCAGAGATATTTGAAGTCGGGGGACGTTTCCAGTAAGTGGGTAAATGATTAACCGAAATATCCTGAAACCGGCAGCTCCAGTGTCACTGGTTACATCGACACAACCCGTTGACAATCATTAAAAGAAGATTTATGGTCAAAAAAATATGAGAAATAATAAAAAATATGTTCTTTGCCGTACAATTAGCTTCTGTTCTCACAGAAAATTCACGAGTTTCACAACATTTGTATAATTCATGACTGCTGCAGGCAGTAGATGAAGGGAACAAACAGAAATACTCCTCCTACCTTGTTGTGCAACCTTGTATGTGGGTTCTGGTTAACCATGGATCTGCTGGGGGAAAAAAAAGTTATCTGGCAATCAGTTTCAAAGCCTTATGCAATCATTATCAGTATGTTTATTCAGTTTTTTCCTTAGTAGTCAGTTCTTTTGTGTTGCAGTCAGAATGCAACACTTGTTGTTTTGTCCAGAAAACAAAATCATTGTTTGGAGAGATTGTTATTTTGCAGTTAATGTCGCATTTTGTCTGCACATTATTAAAAAAAAAAAAAGAATAGTCAAGGACTGAGGGTAAACAGTTAATATTTTGAAAGTATAAAATACCACACAGGTCAGGTTATTGAAGAGCAGAAATGAAGCGTCTTTTCCCTCGAAGAGACAAAACAGAAACTGCGGTTCTGTTACAAATATGCAAAAAACTTTGTCAATGATCCGCTATTGTCAAAAAGAACACAATTTTGCAATAATTGTGTTTCTGTTAAATAAGAAACACAATTAAAATCACACTTGACTAAGTTTGTTCACTTATAATTAATTAAAAAACATAATCCTCCAACTACTTCCTGTTGCCATCTTCTTCTTCGTGGTCTGCGCCAGTGGCAACTTCCGGTTACTGTTCATGTGACTCGTATTGCAGTTTTGTGGCCAGAAAAATTACGTCATTTAAGCGCCAAAACTTTCTAACGAAAAAGGGAAGGTTTTCAAAATTATCACTTCCACATCCAGTACTAAATTTGTATTGTAATCGATAGTTTTCAACATTTTATAGCTTTAAAAGGCAAGAAAAGTTATTGTGAAGAGAAGCTGTCAGCCTCGGATATATTTTAAAGTCAGTTTTGCTTCATTAATAACATTTTTACCTGTCATCAGTTTAAAATTAACGCTTTTTAACATTTCATGACAGTCATTGCTCCAGCTAATTCTGAACTGTTCTGTTTAGTTTATCTACCTAGCATATATGGATAATTACTGAGGATAATAATGATAAGAAAGTGTCGCCCTGCTCGGACTTTCTCACATAAAAACATCATGTTTACTTCAACGATGAGCCAATTGGAGCTTTTTACAGCGCTAGAAATAAACAGCTCAAACTTTGCAACAGTAACAAGTGACGCCATCGGGTTTGATTCCAGTTAGTCCTGGACAGAAACCTGTGACTCCTCTGCAGCTCAGGCTTTCAAAATGACCAAAGAGTTCAAAACCGCGGCCTTGCCCAGTAAATCTCATTTCAGTCGGGGCCACAGATGGTACAGTCAGAATTTGGCTGGACAAGACTGTGAACCCTCGGACCCAATCTGCTTTGGGTCAACATTGGCAGCTGGTGGTTGACGCTTGATGTTTTCTCAACTCTTCTTCAAAATCCTTTTTTGAGTCTGAGTAGTTCACTGCTTTCTTTCCCCAGAAGTAGCGAAGTTTAGCATAATGCTAAATCCAGGAAAGAGATGTTTAAAACGGATTTTATTTATGGTTGATGAAAGATCAGTGTTCTGTGTAAATAAATAATTCAAAATTGATGAAGTGGAGTTGTGCAATATAGCAAAAACATTCAGGTTTTTTTTTTTTTAAGTAAATCTGCTTATGAACTAGACCCAGACTTCTGGTAAGGTACTGTTTACACATAGCGACTCCATAGAATCATAGGGGTGACGATGCTGACTGGATCCACAGCAGCAGCACAATTTAAAAAACGAGCCATGGCTTGAGCAGAAGAAGAAAATCTACATCGACGCTTGTTTTTAAAAAATTTCCTGTTGATTACTTTGATGTTTTCCCCGTTTGGCTATTTTCTTCTAATCAGTCTGACGTTAAACGATTCAGATTTCTTGGCGTGAAATCGCTTTCATCTTTCTTTCAGGACATGTCTTTGAGCGAACTGTTAAGTCTTGTGCGTTATTGCCCCGTTTTGAGGTTGTAGCAAATATTATACAGCATGTGAAATATATATTAGATGTTTTTCTTTCTACGATTATCAGTGCAGTTTTTGACGTAGTTTTCCCGGAGAGAGAATAAAAGCAAATCTTTCAACAATGTTTTTTTTTTTTTTTTTTTTTTTTTTTTTTTTTTTTTTTTTTTTTACAAAAGACCGTTATTTTTCTTCTTCTGCTAATGATGTGCAGTTTTATTTAGCTGCAGTTTGTTTGGTGACAACTCTGGAATAAGTGTTGCTGTAGCAGCAGTTTCAGTTCATCTTCATCGTCTTATGCATCACCTTAAAGTCTTTGGTTTTTTCTTATTCTCTATGTAAAGACTCTTTAGGCCACATGTGTCAAACTTAAGGTCCAGGGGCCGAATTTGGTACGCCATTGCTTTTTATGTGGCTCTCTAGACTCCAGAGGGACACATAAATAGAAGATAACAGTTGTGTGTTTTTTGTTTGAGTATTATTTTCTCAATCAAAACAAATCAGGTTTTATCTAATCATTGACAAATTACATCAATCAGTACCTCCAGTTTTTCGCAATTCCAGAATCAACAGATTCCCACAATTTTTCTGCACTAAAACGTAACTGTGATTTTATTCCAATATTGCCGCAAAAATTGTTAACTCCCACCTGCAGGTGGCAGTATTTCTCACATCTACTACACTTCTGCATCCGCTTTACTCAGTCAAGTTTTAGTTTATGTTCGATGTGGCAAGTAACAAATTTGCTGTTATACATGAGAACAAATATTACACAATTCCTTTCAAATGTTTTTAAATTGGCATCATTGCAAAAAATGACAATCGCAAAATCCTGGAGGAACTGATTATTGTAAATATTATTCAATTTTAAAAAGTACTTATTGAATCCAGAGACAGCTATTTATTAATTTATGAGTTTTATCAACACATTCTGGCACAACATTTATAATCTTGATATGGCCCAAAATATAAATGAGTTTGACTGACCAGCTGTAGACTCTAGTCATATTGATCTTCTCCGTCTGTACTGTAAAAATGAAACTATGTAAATTTGGATCTGAAAGGTTTGGGAATTGTGTCTCTATTTTTGGTAAATCAGGGCAGCTTTTGCCTCATTTTAGTGCCAAACAACAAATGAATAACAATATATATAGACAGACAAGTGATCAATATCAATAAATAAACAGATTTACTAAACTCCGATCTGGAACCGCACTGCATTCTGGGAGATGTAGGCAGAGGAAAGACTTGAACCAATCAACCTTTCACAGCCAGCTAAGCTAGGTTGGTGGAATCGACTGACTCACTCACTCTGTGGTTTCCTAGCAACACACTCACTCTTTAGTTACCTAGCAACAACCTATGAGCAACTGGCACAGCAGCAGTTTATGCCTCATAGCTACTTAAGAATGAACAATGGCGTGGAATAAAAACGAAAGGTTACACCACCAGTTTGGGAGAATTTCAGATATTTAAAATAAATCAATAATTATCGATATTGACTGAAATGAAACTCTTATATTGTGATATGTTTTTCAGCTGTATCGTCCGGACCTACCTCATTCATGAAGCAAATTAATTTAAAAGTCTTTATGACAAGCAGACACATTAAAATCCGAGAGATTCTGATTAAAAATATATATTTTAATTTAACTAATTTGTTGGACCTGTATACATCAGCTTTGGTCTGTTGATTGAATTTCTCCGTTTTCCTCGGCATTCGATTCACTTTCTGTTGAGCTGTAGGGACCGACTGGGTGTGTTTTTCATGTCCGCTCACTTTGTGGATCTGCGTGTGTGTGTGTGTGTGTGTTCACTTGCATTTCACCCTGTGCGTGGGAGAATAAGGACCATTTCTCTTTCACATGAAAGGTGCAGAGTTTGGACAGGTCGGGACGTAAAAGGCCTGCATGATCTCGTGACCACTTCCACACACAAACACACAACCGCAACCTGGCAGCGGTTGAGGCGAAAGCGAAGACATCCTGTCCTCACCTGATCCGGACAACAAGGGAGACTTTTTCTCCTGAGCCTTCACAATAAAACAAAATGACAAGTATTCTTCTATTTCCAAGCGCCAGCGCTGTGGAACGCTGGCAGCTGATTGGCTCGGAGGAGATCTGCATAATGTGTGGGCTGAAACTGACTGTGAACAATAAGCGTTTCAATGCAAACGGGCAGTTTAAGATCTATGGCAACCAAACAGTGAATAAACAGCGACTCAAGGAACAAAAGTCAGTCTCTGTTCCTATCTTTCAGCTGCAGTTAAATGTCTTGTTGGCCCACATTCTGTTTAAAACATCACAATCTGGCGTTTATCTCCGAGTCGGACTCGTAATCACAAGATGCGACATTTCCATGCTAAAAAGAGCGCTGAAATGAACGATGACATCACTGTCTCTGCTCTGGCAGCCATTACTTGAAAGCTCTGTGGTGTTTCTGTTCAGCACCGGGACTGATTTATTGATCGAGGCTGTGTGTGCAAGCCCGCTCTGAGGGATGAGGAGGATTATATATCAGGAGTGTGATGTTGTTGACACTCCTGTCACCTTTACAGCACCGACATGCCAAGGCCTGGACGCCTGCCCAGCCTCACTGCGTCCGAATGTACTGAGGAGGGGAAAACAGGCAAGTTTTGAGAGGTCAGTGGAGGAGTTTGGATGTGAGGTAGAGTCAGGCTGGTTGGGAGTTTCTGCCATGTTTTGGTGGGGGGAGGAGGGAGCATGGTGGGCCAGCTGGCTGCCTCTGGCTCCAGCGTGGCCCCCTGTGGGTATCCGGCTTGGCGCAGACTCTCCCTCACCGCTACAGCTGGGATCCGCGTGCCAGGAAAGACAGAGCTCACAAACACGCAGCTACACACAGTCGCAGACGAACACATGCATGTTGGTTTGGACTGCAGGCCAAAGATGGGATGTGGAGTCGGAGAGCTCAGCTGTGCAGCTTGGCACAGGGCTTAATTAGAGTTGTAGAAGTTGTACAACACTTCTTAAAGAGTCGGTTTAGTCAGGCATAACCATTTCTAAATATTGATATTCTTAAAATCCTCTCTGCAGTTCTTAAATTCTTACTTGAATGACTAAGCAACAAGGTAGTTAGTAAAAATACTAACATTTGATCTCTTGCTGCTTCAGCTGATGGAAAAGCCAAGAAAAACCTCAGATTTTTACTCTACCTTTAAATCTGGTGTATGTAACCTTTATAGATGTTTTTTTTTTTTTTTTTATATTTGATAAACTGTCACCATGTCGTAGCAGTTTAATATGAGACAGATAATCTGTAAAAAAGATCGATTTCCTCCACTTCCTTCCTGAGCTACTACAACCAATCAGAGCCAGGAGGCGGGTCTTAGTGCTGTCATACACTCCTGGCTCTGATTGGTTAGATGGCAGATGAGATAAAAACATTTTTCCCACAGATTCTGTGTCATACCATACATACCAACATAGTGACAGTTTCAACAAATATGTAAAAAAAAATATTTTACAGCTTTAAAACCGTCCCTATTTTATAATCTGATCATCTGTGAAAACATTGAGCTCCTCTGCTTTCTCGCTATAAACTTGCTGCCATGTGCACAAATGCACAACAACCAATCATAGCCGGGAAGAGGGCGTTGGCGCTGTCAATCATCCTCATGTACGCAACAACTGGTTCATCACAATGGAGTCTGATTAATGGACCCAGCTTTGCATCCTTTACAAGCAGAGAACAGGAAACATGTTTTAAATACGTCTCTACTTTTCCATATTACAACGCAACATGAGCGATTTAGCGGATTAGAGTTTTGGAAATCCAACTACACTTTGATTAGTTGGATTTGGAAATCTTTGTACTTAAACTTAACAACTTTTCTACTTCTGTTAGCATATTAGCTGTGTTGGTTTTCATTCTTTATCCACTTGTTGAGTTTTGGTTATATCTCTGTGTAAGTGGGTGTTGGAATAAAAACTTGTTTGTTTTAGCCATACTCTCTAAAACCAGCGTTTTCTTAATGGAGAGAGAGAGAAGCATCTCTAGTTACACATGTTCACAAACATTAAAACCACAGATTAATGTTTAATTCAAACCTTCTGAGTGGATGAGGAGCAAAGTCTCATGCTTTCGACGGCTCTGGTGAATGTTTGGGACAGCAGGAAGACGAGGAATGAGGTCATGTGTTTTGGAAAGCAGGAGGTCCAATTTAAGGGGGTTGAAGAAAATTACAAATCGCTGTGAGACTGTGAGAACAAAACGCCGGTAAATCAGAGGAAAGAAGAGGTGGACTGATGTTTTTCTGTGCAGCATGTAATGGCTGTCCTTTCCTTTTTCATGCATGTTGGGCTGCAAGACACCAGCCTCGGAGTGTAAAAGATGTTTTTACCGTTTGGTTTTTTTATGCATAGAGAAATCATTTCGTAATGAGAGCTAAAAAAAAAAAACGTATCAAAATTCAAAAACTCAACGATGAGCATTTGACACTACAAATAACCATCTCACTGCGTTTCATATTCCCATTAATCACAAATATTAAAGCAGGTTTCTCCTCTGTATGATTATTATCCACCGTTTTCCTGCCGCTGCAGGACTAATTATGTCGACCACTTCCACTGAGATTGTCCAGGAAGTTTAGTTGGCATGTAGTGAGCTGAGTAAGTTTTAATCAACCGGATTGACCTTTTTTCCATGTTGCATTTCTCACAGACTTGCGGATGTAGAAGCTTGGACAGGTCTGGTCCTAGTTGATTGCTCTTTATCAGACTCCAACAGACGAGTGGAGGCGAACGTGGCTGAAGAAAGTCATAAAGTCATTTTAAATTTATTTGTGCTCTTGTAGTCCAAAACCCTACGTCTGCTGCTGGGACGTTAGCCACCAAAACAGAAACGTCAACTTCTGAAAATGACTGACGGCGCTGCAGCGAGCAGATCAGAAACTACAAACTGCTGCGTTCTTTCGTGATCAGCAATAATTAACTAGTACAAGACATACAGGTTTTTAAATCTACAGTAAAAAATAAATTTTGAAAACCCTTAAAAACCAAAGACGTGCTTTCAGCTCTTCAGAGAGAGCTCTGCCTGAATACCAAGTTCAGTTTTGTTTTTGTGTGTCTGGTTGTCCATAGCAATGGACTTGTCAAGGCAGATGATGACGGAAACCGCAGTTCATTTCTTCAGGGAAAGTTCCCAAATCTGAAACGGCGAAGGAGCGAGTCTGACGACGACATTCAGTTTGAGGTGTAAACACACATGTTTTTATCCCTGTTGTGTTGGAATAAAAAATAGTAGCAGCAAGCGCTCCGACAGTCTCGTTGGCAAACCAAGCCAACAACTCCAAATAATAATAAATACTGGTGAACATATATAAAACAATCTCACTATTTTTTAAATCGGTGATTTGTTTGGTTTAAACCTCTAAACTTCTGTTTCCCTGTAGCAGCTAACTGCTGCGGTAAGTTCTGATTAAAAACAAAGCATACTTTTTTTCCATTTAAAAAAAGGATGTTAATTTATTTTTTATTTGCAACCTTTAAGGTATTTAATATTGTATGAAAAGGCTTAAATTAGAAATCTGGAGATTGTGCAATTTTTTAATCCAATTATAATTGACTAATGGTCAGAATTGGCTGCTTGAGAATCTTTGGCAAAAATAAATGTAAAAAAGGTTAATAGACTCTCTACATCCAACCTGAATGAGCTTTAAATATTTTGCAAAGAAAAATCTGGCAAAAAGGAGTTGAATCATTTCAATACATCATTTTAATAAATTTATAAAGAATATATACAGCTCTGGGAAAAAGTAAGAGCCTACTGCACTGAACCCAATTAAAACCTCCTGGTTATTCCACCAAATATTGATTTCTGAGTTGAAACATTAGTATTGTTTCTAAATCAATATGAACTTATTTTTGTTGCATCATTTGATGTCTGAAAGCTCTGCATCTGTTTCGTTACTTTGACTGTTTGTCCTTTTCTGCAAATAAATACTAAATTTTTTCTTGTAATTTCAGAGACAGTAGTTAATAGAATAAAAGAATAATGTTCATTTTACTTAAATATATACCTATAAAGAGTAAAATCAGAGAAACTGATCATTTTAAGACCTCTTAATTTTTTCCAGAGCTGTATACATATTAAGGAGTCAGAACTTACTAAAATAATTTAGTTGCAGCCGTAACTCCCCTCTTGTTTTGGTATTGAACACGACTCCTGCATTAAGCAGCTGCTTCCGTCAGATAAACAAGAGGAACATGAGGGGGAATATGAGGGAAAACAGACGGAAACACCTTTCGTTTCATCCAGCCCAGGCGTCAGTGTGAGGAACATTACCGCTGTCACACGCCTCAACATGGAAACTGCAATTCACCAGACACATCGTACGACAATATGCGCTCCCAGCGTGATGTGTTTTGACAGATCCAAGTCCCTGAATATTAAACCGAGCCGAACGGGGGAATGGAAACATCTGGGCCAAAAGGTTAGAGCAGCATTTCAGTCCGGGGAACGTCTGGAGGATACAGACCTGAACACAGCAGAATTTATTTGCTCAGAGTGACATTTATTTCTCACGGCGCCACCCACACGGCTGCTCTCGACAACACCTGTGCGTCTCGAAAAACGCTTCTCAAAATGAAGAAAGCGAAAGAATAACACAGTCGACAGCCCGTATCGCAGCGGGAGTGTTGTGACACGAGTCCGGCCCGGTTGAGATGAAGTGACGTCAGGCGCAGAGAGCCATTGATCTTGTTTAAGCTGATCAAGGAAGGCAGGGGGGAGTGAGGGGGGGGCAGCTGGCAGACAGACAGGTGCAGTAAATTGATAGAGTGGCTTGAAGATATGAAACTGAGACAGACGGGGAAAGATGAAGGGTTATTTATGAACTGTCTCTTTATCTCAGTCGTCCTCAGTGATGCAGAGAGACAAGAGAGGGTCCTCCTCCCTCCCACCAGCACTCCCACAGATCCTCACAGGGATTATAAAGCTGACATGATGCATACAGGATATACAGTAACCTTATCAAGCCGCACAGAGCAGCAGCACTTTGTTAGCGCTCACTTTGATTAATAGCAGATAAAAGGAACTGCTCTATTTACTGCATGTAGGTCAGCTTGTACCGGCTCTGCTATTAAGTGGCAAACACTTGACGTGCCAAAAATATATTAAACTTTACTTTCAGTTTACTCACTGTGAGACGCAACGGCGGTGGGACGGTGCACCTGGTGTCTGACTGCATCTAAAAATATTCATTTGCTCAGTAATTTGTTTGTTTGGGTTTTTTTTTTTTTTTATCTTTTTTACGTTAGGAAACCGACCACATGTGGAGTCTCACTTATTCCCTGTACTGACACACAGCTGAAATGGTCCTGTTAGCCATTATTTTTCTTTCACATAAGAAGACGTGAAGCTGCCTGACACTTTTTAAAGTTAAAACCTTAAAGTGGATCTATTATGCAAAATTCACGTTTTGCACATGTTTGTATTTCTATTTGAGTCTCAACTGCTTCTAAATAAATAAAAAAAAACCATCCAGACATTTTTTTTGGCAATAAGTAAATGTTTTTTTTTTTTTTTTTTGTGGGTTTGGGAAATAAGCCATTTCAAAAACCTTT